ATTAGCTATAGGTTCCTCATAATTTTCTGGAGTTAAAGTTCAAAATTATTGAAACTACATACGATTATTTTATGTATACTATAATAATTGTATAGGTTAATTTAAAGTTCAAATGTTGATAAAATTCATCAAAATAATCTACACAATTTTTAAATTACTTTTAATATAGAAATTCATAAACAATTTTATTTCCATATAGATAATATTAGACATTTTGATAAAAKATGTTTTTCCTTTTGTCACTGATGAACCCCCTTTTTTACTGTAAATTATTTATGGTAGATAATTTTTTTTTTTTAAATTTGGATGTACCAAATAAAAATTCAAATGAGTAGTTTCTTAGTTATTAAATTGTTTGTACCTATACTAAAGATAAAATTCCTTGAAAACCGTTTTACAAAAGAACACGTATACGTATACTATTGGAACTATGATACTTGGGATAGTTTTTACAAATTATTCATGTTGAATGTTGATATAATAATATTAATGACTAATATTTTCAAATCCATCATAAAACCTAAATCATGTACGTTTTATCCTTAGAACACAAAGTTAAATAAATAAAAAACAACTCATTAAAATGTTGATACCACATATCTTATATKTGCCTAATTCGTGGACCTTTTTTATTTTTTGAACAAAGTTTATATTAACTCAATAACTACTCATTAAAATTTTGATTTCAATGCATCAAAATCCTCAAAAAATAATTAAGTGAAAAATTGGAATTCTCATTTGAAAAACAAAAATTTATGTCRCCACATAGGACACACCTTAAATGGTACAAAAAATCTCAAGAATTTGAAAATATAATAGTCTTCGATTATATTTAAAGATTCTCAAAATTAGATGTTGAATAACTGCATTACTAAAGAAAAAAGGGGGGAGATTAGCATACTTTATGAATCGCCCTGTATTATGTTGGTATAATCTACAAGTCATCATCGTTACTGCATACTGCACGGTATACGCTTGCGCTGTTGTTATTATTAGACTGAATTAGACCTGCGTAGCAGCTATAATAGTGCAGCGCAACCTTTTTTGATTTACGAAACCCAAATTTATGTACTTTGATGATGACCCACCCCTTACCAAACATAAAAAAATACATGACAATTTATTTTATATTGGTTTAAAATATAAATTAACTCGTTAATTTTAGGTTATTKTTTTAATTATTCACTATACAAWTCATGGTTCAATCAAAGCTTTTTCATAGTTCAAGATCCCTATTTATTACCTATAAAACGTAAACTTATTGTACGTATATAGGTGTATAATGCATGGTATATTTGTATGCATATATAATATATGCATATATTATATATACGTTATTTTATGGCTTGTTGTATATCTAATATATCTATATATAAAATAATATTTATTATATAACTATATGTAGGTATGTAGTATGTATATAAATAATTATGTCTATATTATACCTACATAGAAAAGAGAAATAAGTTGCTAGAGATAATGCTATATGATGCCTAAGTATAATATCATATAAGGACATATGGGGCCATATCTCGTATATAGTACTTCTCGTAGACATTCTTTCAACTATATATTGTATATAGGTACAGCGTGTCTCCACATCAGCATTCTTCTTTATTAAACATAATTTTTCATTGCACCCTTACTGTGTATAAATATACAATATGCAATATAAGTTTATGGTATCTTCCTGCTATATATTGTCCTACACAAAATTCATATATCTAATGGAATAATATGATATGTATTGCATGTATACCTACAACTATATACATGTGTATAATATATTTATAAAAAAGAGTGATACTATTATATTTTATTATATTTACCTATATTATATTATCACCACGAATAAAAAAGCAA